GTGGAGAGCAAGACGACGAAAGCAGGTGTGCAAGTGTACCACTTGGTGGATATTCTTGACTGAGTATATCTAGTACTTCACGGAATGGTGAATGAATTACGGGAAGGACGCGCTCCACAACGTCCTCAGACTAGACATACAGTAAGCTCTTGTACGTGGAGAGTTGGAGGGGAATCATACCTCAGAAGAAAGATCATAGGGAGGAAGCTCCACAATCTCGACATTGCGTGCAGGCTCGACGTATTCAAGACCATGCCTGTCTCTGTGCTCGACCCAATCTGTCGACACATGCAGGACTGCTTTCCGCTTGCCACGACCACTCTGACTTTCGTTCCGAGCCTCCTCCCATATACCAACCTCGACCACATCTTCGTTATCGTCCACGAGTTGCGAAGCGATAGCGCTCATGTCTGAACCCTTCGGCCCAAGTAGTAATAATCGCAAATCACCCAGAGTCTGACCATGCACCGTAGGTCGCCTTGAGGGCGACGGAAGAGTGAGCGAGGGGATCACCAAACCGCTCGTTGAGTCGCCCAATCCATCTTCGTCTCCCGCGGAGTGGTGGGCTGGATGCGGCGGCGAAGTCGGGCCGGACGAGAAGAGGAATGAGGAGCCGACAGAAGGGAACGATGAGACCGAGTCTCCTGAAGGGCTGCCTGGCTCGGACTGGAACGCGCTATGAGGTGAAGAAGGTCGGAAGGGCGAATGGGACTCCCGGTGGTCGTCGTGTAAGGGTCCGGTGGACGCCTCGGAGAGGAGGGCCATGTCGAGGTGTCGTAGGCCGCGAATGGTGGATGCGCTGGTGCTTGGCTCATGCTCGTGTTGCGACTCCATCGCGCTGAGCGAAGACTCAAATCTATTTACGCGTGAGTTACTGGGTTGCCAATGCATCTACTGTCGTCGGCATACCGTACTCAGGCTTCCGATCTCAGGACAGTCTGCACTGCACCAGCCGTGGTTGTTGAGATGTCGAGCGTATCCAATGCGCCTCGTGTGTTCTGCGTTGCTGGAGTGAAAGCACGGCAAGAGGAGGTGGTGGTCGCAGAGAGAGGATTGTCGGACGAGAACGCAGATCACTGAATTTGGACAAGAGCAACGAGCTAGCACGCCACCTGATTGAGTCCACACGATAAATCTAATCTGATAACTGCGAGCAAACCGTCTACTGTATCCTCAGCACGTGAACACGACGCGCTACACGGGCGCCCGAACGCGCCTCAGCAACCACTGGAACGAAACCTTCCTTTCGTCCGCCATCTGACCATACCCCCCTTCGCCATCGATCTCTCCAAATTGCCTCAGTGAAGGGGGTTTATGTCCGTGTAGTATGACGAGGAGCGCAGTACCGATCACGACTACGACGAACAAGAAACGGAAGTCAACCGGTGGTTTGGACTCGACCAAGAATGGCGCGGACGCGAGCAACAAGCGACGAAAGACCTTGGACGCGTTCTTCTCGCCTCAAGTGACTCAGTCCGTCGTTGCTAAGGATAAGGATAGCAAGGGCTTGCGCGAAACCATCAGCCTCAATAAAGAGCAGAGTAGGGTCTTGCAGATGGCTGTGAACGAGGGGAAGAATGTGTTCTTCACTGGGGCCGCAGGTGAGCTATCGCTGTCAAACAGATGTACAAATCTACGCGCATTGGGAGCTCCTCAACCCGCACCCTGAGCTTGGAGTAATCAGGAATGGTCGCATGCCGGACTGGAAGATTGACTCCAGGCTGCTCATAGGTTCTGGCAAATCCCTGCTCCTTCGCGCTATCATAGCTGCCCTTGGAAGAAAGTACTCAAAGAACATATCGGTTGTCTCCGTGACGGCAAGCACCGGAATGGCAGCTTCCAACATTGGAGGTGAGTACCTCGTTCTATAATGTTTGGCCTTAACTCACCATTGCAAAGGTATGACCATCCACTCCTGGGGCGCGGTAACCCCAGGCATGCACAATATCGACAGGCAGATCAGTTGCATCAAGACTTGCAAGCCTGCATTCAAGCGCTGGAAGGACACGAAGGTACTCGTCATTGACGAAGGTCAGCCATTTATGAAATCCTGATCTCTCGTGTTTGACTCAATAACCGGCTAGTATCAATGGTGGACGGTTACTTGTTCGACACGCTCGCGAAGCTAGCTGAACAGCTGCGAAACAAGAGGACGGATAGACCTTTTGGTGGCATACAGGTATATGTTACGGTGCAATCCATGGACCTTGGTAATCATCCTGAACCTGCATTCCTAGCTTGTCGTCACAGGAGACTTCTTCCAGTTGCCCCCCGTCACAAAGTCTGGGGAGGAGCCATTCTTCGCATTTGAGAGCGAAGCCTGGAAGCAATGCATCGAGCATACTGTGACGCTCACCCAAGTCTACAGGCAGAAAGACACCCGTGCGTGCCTTCCCGGCGCTCTTGTCCCTTCTCTGACGAACACGCGGATTAGAATTCGTCGAGCTTCTGTACGAGCTCCGAAAGGGGACCATCTCGCCTTCCGCCCAGCAAACCTTCACCAAATTGTCTCGTCCGTTACCACCACTGCCTTCCGGTATCCTTCCCACCGAGCTCTATCCCCTTCGTGCTCAAGTCGAGCGCGCGAACACGACACGGCTCGCCGCCCTCTCTGGCGATGTGCACGCATACACCGCGCGTGACACCGGCACCCACCAGAAGGTACTTGACCATATGGTCGTGCCCTCGCGACTTGCTTTCAAGGTCGACGCGCAAGTGATGCTCGTCAAGAACGTCGACGAGCAGCTTGTGAACGGCGCTGTCGGTCGTGTGCTCGGCTTCTACACCATCGCTGACTGCCAAGCGAGCACCGGGCTGCCTGCATCGCCGGAGAAGGGTGTGAATTTGCCTAGTAGTTCAGTCAGCACGAAAGGAAGGCCTGCATCTTCATATGCAGCAAGTTCGCAGGAGTCGACTGCGAGCAGCCCGAAGGCCAACGGTGCTGTGCGCAATGTTCAGGTAGGGACTGATGGGCGAACCCCGATCGCCCTGTTTGGGAGGACCTCTGCCGACAAGGAAAATGTCGGGCCCATAACCGTGCTGAAGACGGAGAAAGACGTAAGGCCCACCATGGGCACGCCGTCATTGAAGGGCAAGGCGAAGGACGAAGAGCTTTATCCTTTAGTCGAGTTCCGCACCCAGCAGGGCACGGAGATCGTCCTCGTCGTACGTGACGAGTTCCGCGTGGAAGATAACGAGGGCAAACTGCTCGCGCGCCGCGTGCAGGTGCGTCCGTTCGTCTGTGTCATGTCTGAGTCGCGTCTGGACGTGGAGCTGATGTATGCGTTGGGCTCCAGCTCCCGCTTGTGCTCGCGTGGGCGATGTCGATACACAAGAGCCAGGGGCAGACGATCCAGCATGTAAAGATCGACTTGCGGAGCGTGTTCGAGAAGGGACAAAGTTATGTTGCCCTTTCTCGTGCCTCTTCGCCGGAAGGACTGCAGGTCCTCGGCTTTGACCCGAAGAAGGTGGGTTTCGCTTTGCTCCAAGTCCTGGTCTGAATGTCGTGACATTGACCTCATCGCAGGTCAAGGCGCATCCGAAGGTGATTGCATGGAGCGCCACCTTGGAGGAGGTGGCTGCCCGTACGTGAAAGGTCCAGCGCAGGACGCTGCAAGATCATGGTACATTATCGCGGACATGACGAGGACTTACAACACGTCCTATAGCAATATCAATATGCAGACATAATGCGTACTATACAACAATGCATGAGTGCTGCATACAAGAACCAATGTATTCTGATTGATACCATTAAAGAAACACTGACATGTGGCGGAGAATCAAGGCTTTGCAGTCCTACGGGCCTATGCATTATGGTGCTCCAATGCGCCACAATATAGCGTTTCAAGTGTTTCAGCAGCCCGCCGCCGCGCCGCCCCAACCCTAGCCGGCGGATACAGAACCCGTCACATTTGAGGCTATAGGCGGTATTTGCGCCGCCTCGCGGGCATCGTGCCACGACACAACCCCATCGACTCATGCCGGTTGCCGTTGGGGTCACTGTGTATATAAACGATTCAAGGAGACAGCGAAGAGGTAGGCACTCATTCACCTCACCACATCAATCCTCGTAGAACGTCCACTTCCTTCGCTGCCTGTTCATCATGCCTTCCCGCCAAGTCCACAAGCGCGCTGCCGACATCGTCGTCCGCCCCATGGGGCGCGGGTCTCGTGCAACCACGAAGACGGTTCTCGGGACGATGAGCGAGCTCAACCGACATGCTCCTCTCGTGAGTTGTTCTGCCGCCTTAAGCTTTCTCGTATGTTTTGATTGTCCATTGACTGGTCACTGGTGTCATCGCAGGAGGATATTGCTCCCCACTTGATCGTGGACAACCCGAAGCCATGGAAGCAGGCTAGTCGAGCCGCACCGCGACTCGGGCGGGCGAACCGCCGTAACGCCGGACGGGATGACGGGAGGACGTGGGTCTCGCGCCGCTTCGTCTGCGGCGCGGCGATGGAATCGGAATGGGACGGGCCATCGGAAGAGGACACAGACGCGGACGAGGAGTGGGCGCAAGACCCACCAGCAAAGTCGCGCAGTCCACCTCCGGTGGAATTCTGCCTCATGGACATTGCTCGGCCGGCCAAACAGCGAGGTGCGTACACTAAAGGATAGTTGGGGAGGGGCATGATGCTGAACAATGGCATTTCCAGGTTCGCCGCGGGGTTATGCAGTCGTAGGCCGTGCAGGTACTCTGCTTCCTCTAGAAGACGAGTGGGAAATTCTGGCCGGAGACGACGACGACGAATGGGAGAGTGTGGTAGCATGATGAGCTATAGAGGTCTACTTGGATGTCATGAAATTACTAGTCGTAGTCTACACTTGAGTTAAGTAGCAGTAGAAGATGACGGAGTGCCGTAATAATCTAATGATCGGGTTTTCGGTGTTGAGCTTCACTATATCTCAACTATCGAAACGACAGGATAACGTGAAAGTACAACGGCGATGATAGGAGAAGTAGACACCAAAAGAACAAACCATTAGCGGGTTTGAACTGCCCCAGTGAGGCTCGAACTCACGACCTTCCGATTAAACGGTGAACGTAACAGTCGGACGCTGTAACCAACTCAGCCATGGGGCACGCCTTTTAGTTGATGTGCAAAGCAATATAACATCATACCTCTTTGGTTCACTGGGAGGATCTCGAGCGAGGATGGTGAACTTGATTCCTTCATCCCCGACCGCGCCCGAGTGGACCACCATGGCTAGCTTTGCAACGGACCCGGGCCACGCCGATACACATCTTGAGTCTGACGCTGTCGCTGCTGACTCCACGCACTCGCAGAACGGCCAGGACGGCACAGACCAGCTCGGGAATGGAGAACACGACACGGACAACGATGGTCCCGGCAAGAAAAAGAAAGGAACAAAACGGAGAAAGGTCAACCATGCATGCCTCTACTGTCGCCGGAGCCATATGACCTGTGATGAGGGGCGTCCCTGTCAGCGATGGTGCGAGTCTTCCAACAATCTTCGAATCTCACCACCAACTCTGAGACTGACCGGTGAGCCAGCATAAAGCGCGAAATCGGCCACCTTTGCCACGACGAACGGAGAGCTGCGGGCAAAGACAAGGCGTCTACCTCTTCTGCTCCTGCCCCAAACAATATCACGAATCCTCCGATAGACGTCGCGAGGCTTCCTGGCGAGTATACTTTTCACCCCCATATTCCCCCGACAAACCTCTAACGCACCAGCCACGGGTTTGCTCCCTCGCAAACTTTTAGCGGGGCAGTACGGATCCGCTTCGGTCCCCATGAACTCGACATGGCCTGGGATGGGCTTGGGCATGGCACAAGGTGGATGGTTATACCCACCAGAGACTCTGAGCAACGAGTTCTCTGTCCTCTCGTGAGTGTCTTCCTGTGAGCTGCGCGTGAGTTCAATTGGGTGGAGGTGTGCATTATGTTCCTTCATCTGAACTATGCGCAGACCAGTAATATCCATGTGCAAAGTATACGAGAAATTCCCTCAACTTTTGTTCATGCTCTCTCGAAGTTGATGCACACTGGACCCCATGCTCGATGACGCAGAACACTGACGGAGTACTCACAGGGACTTCCTTGAGTCATTAGACGACGGATCATTTTTCAGTCAGCCCTCTGCAGTTGCCCCCTCAATGATGTCCAGCCCCACATATGCCAACCCGGTCTCACTTGGAGTCGACAACCCGTACATCACCCAGCCAGCAGGTCTTCCCGCACCAACCAATGCGGCAACTCCTGGTCCTGGTCCCGGGAGCCCAGAACGTGACCGTGACAGGGCAGAAGAGCCTGCACCCGTCGTGCTCCCTGCCGCTACCAAGACGGAACGTTTCTTCCTCACGGCTGCCGATCAGGCCTCAGGTTCGCGCAATGAGCGGCTGAACATGGTCATCCGTAGTAAGTACGAGGCCGGGCTGCTCAAGCCTTATAACTACGTCAAGGGTTATGCAAGATTATCCCGCTGGATGGACAGAAAGTACGTCTGTGCATGTGTGTAGAATCATCTGCCAGGCTCACTCATGTGGTGTAGTGTGTCCCAAGAATCGAAGCAGAAAATTCTACAGCCATTGTCTGTTCTCAGGCCCAAATTCAGAGTGAGCCTCCGATTATCTGCATGGCACGTTGCTAACCGCTCTTTCAGGCGATAGCTCAATCAGAGTCTCTAACAGATATTGTACGCACGCCCGTGGATGTCCAGGACCACTGAACGCGTTCGCTTACCCCTCTCTAGGACCTGGTCTTCATTGAGGAAGCTTTCGAGCGCCTGCTCTTGGACTATGACCGTGTGTTCTCAGCCATGGCGATTCCTGCATGTCTTTGGCGCCGTACTGGCGAGATCTACAAGGCCAATCGCGAATTTGCTGAGCTGGTCGGGGTGGACGGGTACATGTTGCGTGATGTACGTCCAAGATCCTTCCGTCCTCTGAGTTTGGCTCTCTATTGAGAGGACGCTGAAGCCACGTCTCTGGTCAGGGTCGACTATGCATCTACGAGCTCATGGCCGAGGACGCAGCTGTGAATTACTGGGAGGTGCGGATCGCGCCCGCTGTCATCGCGTTACGCTCGCTGACTGAACGCTGTGGCTAACGCCTCACCTCCGGCACGTACCACGTACATAGAAATACGGCAACGTGGCATTTGACTCGAACCAAAAGGCGGTCCTGACCTCGTGCATGCTCCGCTTTAAACCGCTCTTGCCTTCGTCTGGCGCGGTGACGCCTGCACGGGGCAAGGAGCCGCCGCCGAATGAGGAGGGCTTCATCAGCTGCTGCTTCTCGTTCACCATCCGACGCGACCCATATGGCATCCCGACGCTCATCGTCGGGAACTTCATCAAGTGTTAGACCTCATCAGGAACTCCCCCAAGTGCCATTCCTCGTCTAGAGCGTCCACATATTTCCACTCCAAACTTTCAATATTCCCGTAGACTTGTGCTCTTGTTTTCCTTTGTGTCTGTCATCGAGCTTGCTTTCGCTAATTTATCTCTAGCGTACCATGACGCCCGCTGTGCGCACCTTGCGGCGCGTGCAGTTGGCAGCTGTAATCTGGGCTCTGCGCAGTATGTCTTCTGTTGTACTTTGTTTGCGTTGACTCCGCCGTTGTTAGACACAAGCTAGCAGTTTGAAGACCAGTGAAGAATGAGAATGTACATTGCTGTTCACACACGCTTTATTGGTTTCGGTCGTCTGACTGCGCTGCAAGACGCACGTTCGCGTATGGTTTTCTCAACATCACCGCAGTTGGCAGAAGGTTGTACTGTTTGTTCCCGGTAGACCCGGCCTTATGCATTGATCTTCCACCGTTGTCCTGGAAAGTTCCTACCCTCATCAGCGCTCAGCGGTCGTCCCGGGTCCGTGCATTGGATCCGGTGCAGACGGACCTTGACCGCCGTCGCAGCCATCTTCTCTTCAACGATGCTGTTACTGGGGTACACGTGCCATCCCCCCAATTCATGAGTAGCAAATTACTGGTAGAGTGTCTTTGAATATATGTCCTTATGGAGTATGGCCCTACTCGGGTGTTTGCCGTTCGGCCATTGTTGTCTGTTCGCAGTGGACACCGCAGTTGTGAATTGTATCGCTGGTCTCAGGCGGCTACAGCCGTCCGCCCCAGAACGGCGCGCTGGAGCAGGAACCAATTGTTGTTGCCAGACGCGTGAAACAAGCCTTGCCGGAACCGAGCGCGAAGATCGCTGACTAGTAGAGATGTGGATGTATACAGACAGTTCTGCATCGACACTACTTCATCTTTGCTCTTACCTGCCGCTCGCGACCACACTCTCCTTCCCTCTTATACCCGCATGGCTATTTCATGAATATCCATGCCTCCAGTTCGTCGACGCTCGGCATGGCAAAGGACTCCAACCCGCCACGCCCGCGTATACTGCACCGCGCCCGGAACCTGCTCACGACAAAGGGCGAGCCCGTACCAGCGATAGCGGACACCCTCCTCGCTGCCAACCCCGATCCCGGCTATGTACCACTACGACGGCGGAGAACGGAGGGCGGGACTGGCTTCGGAGGGTCCATACGGCGCACGTTGAGCCAGGTGAAGGATGTGGGGACGACCGTCGCGCGCCGCGCGAGCTTCAAGCGTTCTCCCTCGTCGCCGCCGCCCACCGCGTACGCAAAGACACCTGTCGTGCTGGAAGAGAAAGCGGCGGGAGAGAGCGCAACGTTCACGCTCTCGCCAGTGTACTGGGTGAAGCGGAGGAAGAGCCACCGCCGCGCCCAGTCTGAGTCTCTGCCCACGCGGCCCAAAGTCGATCACGCTGTGCCGGGCGACAACAGACTGAGCTTGAGTGGCCCCTCCCCTTTCCTCCCCTTTCCAGACCGTCCAGCACAGACCAGGATGTCCTCTCTTCCCGAGTCTCACTCTGTCGAGCAGCAGCAGCACGAGCAACAACAACAGCAACAACAGCAACAGCAACAGCAGACGCAGGCTCAGATATCTGTGCCTGCGGTCGCGCAGCCCGCGTCTGGCTTGGACGCCACCGTGCCGCCGCTGCTGCAGCAGGGCGTGCCGATGCTCAAGGTGTCCGCCAAGAAGCAGAAACGATACGTCTTCAGGCTCGATCCCGACCAAGGACAGATTGTATGGGAGTCCAAGAAGCTGCGATATAGTGAGTGCTTTCTTCTGATGGTCCCCGTACCCGTGGCTCTCCCACCAGCCATCTTCTTCATCGCCCACACGCTCTGTACAACAAGGTGTAGATGTCCCATTCGAACGACACTTCATCCCTTTTCAATTAATTGCCCCCGTCCCCGTGCCCGTCCTATCGAAGATCACCCCCATCGCCTGTGTGTGCTACCGGCATCGGAGCTTCCCCCCTGTCGTGTGCTGCACTGCCAATGGCCCGATGCTAACATTATTGGTGCAGTTCCAATCGAGAACATCAAGGAGCTTCGTTCCGGTGCGGATGCACGCTACTACCGCGAGCAGTTCCAGCTCGCACAAGAGTACGAGGACAAATGGCTCACGATTGTCTACATCCTCGATGGCGGCTACAAGACCCTACACTTGATCGCCGCCACCCGCGATGTTTTCCAGATGTGGGACGTCACTCTGCGCCGACTATATGCTATCCGGCAGCAGCTCATGAGCGGCCTGGGCAGCGCGGACGTGCGCCAGGCACTCTGGGAGAAGCAGTTCTGGAAAGGTGCAGATGATGAGAAGGACCAGCGGCTGGACTTTGACGACGTCGAACGCTTGTGCCGGCGACTGAACATCAATCCGTCTCGAGAAGATCTGCTCAGACGATTCAAGCAGGCAGACAGTCAGGAGAGGGGATACCTCGACTTTGCGGACTTCAAGCGCTTCGTGAAGTCCCTCAAGGCGCGTCCAGAGCTCGACAGGCTGTACAAGAAGATCGCAAATGGTGACTCCGGCTTGGCTTTCGCTGCTTTCGAGCAATTCATGAGAACCTCGCAGAAGGTATGTCGCTTCCTTGTCACAGGGAGAGACGCTCATGAAGCCCTGGCTCGCAGTCTTCCCTGAGCCAACCTGAGCTGGAGCACCTCTTCCTGCGCTATGCTGTACCTGCCTCAGGCTCCGGGACTGTGCCCGGGTCCCCACCTCAGACCTCGCTGGAATTTGC